GACCTTCTAGCTGTGACTGAGTAAGTTACTATTCAGTCGATGCATCTGGACACTGGAATTTTAACCTTTTCTTCTTTGTAAAAACTGCTCCGACTCTGTCGGTTACACAGGGGATTGTGAGGGAACAGCCGTTTTCAAGTCCAGCTACTGACTTGGACTGAGGTCAGAACTTTGACTCGGCCACAACATTCACCTCGTTGTCTTTTTTGTGTAACATTAAACTTCAGGTCGCTGCCCTGAGTTGGAGGTGATGTGGTGGCCTCCATCACTCGTCTCTTTCTTACACTCAGATTCTGAGGATGTCTGCTGTAGACTGAGTTACATGTGCACCATATCCCTCTGATCTCTGAACAGTGGCTTCACCTGTACTCCAGGAGACATTACTGGGACCTTGAAATGTTCTTGTGTCCATCCCCTGACTGGTGCTTTGCAGAAACCTTTTCACAGACTTACTTGGAGTGTTCTTCTGTCTTCATGGTGTCGTTCGATCCAGGAGTACTGATCCACCAGAGACTGGACCTTCCAGATACACCTGAGACTCATTGACTGCGCTCAGATGATCGACTTCTCTGACTTTAAAGGAGGTGAATACGTGTGCAATCACTTATTTTACATTTCATAGTTTTCAGTTGGTAAAACTTTGTAGAGATCCATTTTCACTTTGACATGAAGAGTCTTTGTTGTTAACTTCTTGTCAGAAAAGCAAAATTAAAGTGATTGAAAAGCAACAAACAGGGAAAACCTCTAAGGCTGGTGGCGGTTATTTGTTAGAGGCTCTGTAGACGCTCCTCAGCCGGGAAAAACTCAAACCCTGCAGGTGGAACTACGGCAGGGCTTTGAGCTAAATACCCAAATATGGATTAATAATGTGAACATATTGTTCAGTAGGTTTAATATAATAACTCCACTCCTGACCACGAGGTACTGGTTCTAGGATGATGGTGGCCTTTAGCACCAAATTAATTTTACTGGTTTGAGGAAGAGTTATCTGATGAGATATTATGACGTTAAGAAATAAGCCTCTGTGTTGTTTAATAGGAATATAAATACACACGTTTATTTTTCCTGTTAACATGAGTCATATGGAGGCTTATCCGCTAGTTTAAACCAAAAACAACTGAAAATGTGAGGACTTTGGAGGAAAGACTCCAATGTGACCTGGTCCCATCAATCCTACATTAATTGGCAATAAAAAGTCGTTAAAACTAAAATAGTTTCTGTATGTGTTGATCCTGGAAGATGAAGCTCATCTTATGTGGAAGAACCAGTTTGTACTGATGTGAATGACTTGTTCAGTGATAAACTCCCCGGGAGGCTTCTTCTGCTTCTTCCATTTAGTTTTAATATTTGTAAGAACACGTCTGTGGTCCGTTTTGATTTAATTATACTTAACTTATGCGTACATTTTGTGTACATAGACATTAGAAATACCAGCAGAACACATCTCACAGCATCCTTCACAAACATGACCGACACATGAGACACCTGAAAGGATGAACACAAGTTTGGTTTATTTTCACACGTAGTATTTCTTGTACAGCACATGGGAAACGCATCAGGAGGGAAGACACAGTGCATTAAAAAAAAAGAAAAAAAAACAAAGGTCCTTGGCTTTTCAAAATAGAAACTAAACGTGAGCTCGTAAAACGGAAAAAATAACAAACCCCAAAAACAAGAAAAGAATAAAAAGTAAAACCACACTGTTGGAACAGAAGCACAGGCAGGAGGAGGGAGATGTCACCGACAGTCAAAGAAGAGTATCAAATACAAACGTCCCAAATAGTCACGCTTTACCACCAAATGCATAGCCATTATACAGCATCATTTAGAGGAGTATAGAGCTTGTGTAATATCGTTTAGGTCTGCCTGTGGCTGTCTGGCAGGACGGGAAAGAGGCAGGCAAAGGCATTAAACTGTACAGATTATCTCTGACTCCTCGCTGGTCGTAGCCATCACAGAAGTCCCTCATAATTCTTCTATTCTGCATTAGCGCTGCAGCCAGAAACACGGGCGCATCTCGCTAAAGATTTATACAGTTCAACTAAATTGCATACTGTCATGTAAAATTCATTCCTGTGTGAAAACGGCGGCGGCTGTGAGGCTGCTCGCCGTATAAAATCAGACTTGATTCTGTTTCTATCAGCTTAGGTGCAACAAGCATGCAGTAAAAGTGGAACCTCTTGCGATGGCTAAGTCTACATCGCCAGCCTGCTGTACACAGACCACAGACTCAACAGAAACAGTTTAATACTACACAAGAAGGACTGAAAACAGACTAAAGTACGCGTACTACCACTTCTGAAAAAAGGGGGTAAAATAAAAACAACAAACAGCAGAAGGAGGAGCTCTTCTCCCCGTATGGAGGCTCTTAGAGTTTTTTCTTTACACTGAGATGCTGATGTTAAAACCCGCTGCCTGTCACCACCACCAAGGATCCAAGGTACACCCATTTAGACAAAAAAGAAAAAACAAAAAGATGATAAAAAATATATTTCCCAACTGTGTTCCACCAGTTTCCTCCATGTGTGAGTGCATCCCTCTGCGTCTGCCCAAACACAGCCATAGACGAGCCCAGTACATAGACATATCCATACATAGGACGAGCAATCACTAGTCATAAAAAATACTGAAATCAATGAGTAATAAAAGAAAAACATGTTGAAATGTGCCTTTTTCGGTCTAAACATTGGTGACGCAAGTTCTACACAAGCAGAGAGCTCCGATATACAGTTTGCCTGCCAGGCTGTCATATGATACAAGGAGGGATTCGATGGAAGAGTCGGGTTCAGAGAATCAGCTCCACGTTTTCCTTATTCGCTCTGTTGCCAAGAATCAGATGAAAACACTGATGCCACGCTCATGTCTGCACATTTGAAGCCGGTTAGCTCAGTTTAATGCACAGACTAGAAGATAAAAAATAAAACGCCTGCTACTGCTTTGATTCTCACTAATTATCTAACGAGATCGTATTTGTTGGAGGGTTATGGGCCAGACTACTTCCTGGTCTTAATGGAATCTCCTGGGCAAATGATCCAGACTGAAAACTACACACTTATTTGTCATTTTTACACTTTTCCATTTGTACAAATCAAGCAAACAAGAAATAAAACATTAATTAGCGGCTCTAGAAGTCTGTTGGTTGAACTAAGTCAACGGGCTGATGGCTCAGACACCAGAGTGGCAGAAATGTCGAGTAAAACTTGGCAAGAAAGGGAGAAAAAAATGTGAAACTTTTCCTTTAAGGTGTTTCAGTCAATAGGAATCGATCAAAGAAGACTTTAGCCAGAGCGCTGTGAACATCAGCGGGCAGAGATGGAGGTGATGAGTCTGACAGACGCCTGATCTCATCGTGAATGAAAACAGCAACGAGTTGCATCAAATGTTCTCTATTGTTTTCTCTTTTAAAGGATCTGATTGGTCGCTGCTCAGGTTCGGGGCTGCTGCTGCTGACGGTGGCGTCACGGCGTGCTGTTAATTTGCCCTCTTGTCTGCCTTACAGTGAAGTTTGGCGTGTTGCTGCTTCATCTAGCTGACAGCGCCTTTAATGAGAGTGAGAGCGGCGGCCCGGTGTCAGGAGAACAATCCGGAGGAATTAGAAGGAACAGCTCGGTTGATGTTCTCTGTTTGTGTCTCTGGGCCCTGGGAGAATCCCATTGACTCGGCTGCTCATTAGACGCCGCCTTTGTCGAGACCAAAATAAAATAGATATTAAGCAGCGAGACGGGGACGACGCGCCGCCGTGAATGCCTAATTGCGTGCCCTGTGTGTCGTGTGTGTTTCTGCCGTCGTACGATCACCTCGGGGGGGTGCAGCGGAGTGTGTGATGACGTGTGTTTGTGTGTTTGGTGTCGGTGTGTGTGGATATCCACCTCCCCCACCCCCTCCATCTCGGAGCGTCATCGTTCCCCAGCTCCTGACACCTCTCGCTGGGGAGATCGAGCTGCGGCGTCAGCCTCATTAAGGCTTCCACTGTCTGGCTAATGAATCGATTGTGTGGTATCAGTGCTCCTGGCTGGCGCTCCCACAGTGCCACTCCGCTCCTCCTCTGGGGGCCTCCCTTCCACTGAGCTCTTAATCAGGAAACAGCCCTAATTACCCTGCCTCCCTCCCTCCTCCCTCCCTCCCTGCCTCCTCTTCCTCCCTTTCATTCCTCTTCCTTCCGCACTTTCTCTCCTCCACAACTTTATCTTCACGCTCCGCCGCCCTTTTCCCTTTTGTCCTCCTTATCTCGCCGCTTCTTCCCATTCTGCCTCCCTTCTCTCTCGCTTTGCTATCATGCCTCATCCTTGGGCTAAAAGTGGAGGAGGGAGGGAGGGGAGGGGAGAGGAGGGGAGGGGAGAGGGGGAGGGAGTAGCTTATATCACAGCGGGAAAAAAAAAAAGAGAGAGAAGGGGTGATGTTTTTAGGTGGGGTGAGGGGTCAGGAGGACTCGAGAGGAAGCGAGACGGAGGTTGCCGGAGTAATGAGGATGAGGAGTGGTTGTCAGGGCAACTACAAGCCTCCCCGCCCTCCCCCCCACCCGACTCCAAAATCTCCATCCTGTCTCTTCCCATCTCGTCCCTCGGCCCCTCAGTACACCACCTCGTACACCGTGGCCTTCTTGTCCCCGGAGCCCGTCACTATGTACTTGTCGTCGGGGGAGACGTCACAGCTCAGCACAGACGAGGACTCCTTGGACTGGGCGAGAGAGGTAGACACAGAGCAGGGAGATGGAGAGAGAGAGAGGGAGGTATGATGGATGGATGGAGACAGATGGAGAGAAACAAACACAAAGAGAGAGATGTTAGAAAAAGATATGACTCATCACTTAATACTCAATCATACAAGACATATTTGCATTTCAAAACAGTCGGCATTTATTTCCAAACAGACAACTCCGGCGCTCCAGGATGCTGACTCACTCGTCTGCTCCGATCTGAGACTCATCGCCTGGTTTTTTTTTTCTGTCTCTGGTGAGATGCTGCCTCATTAACGGCAGGTTTAAGCATCACTTGCAGCACCAGTGTGACGGCCTGCACCAACAGTTCTTTTTATTTGCTTCCCCTTTTCCCACCGTGGGGGGAGGAGGAGCTCCAGACCGACCTCGGCCAGGTGCTCCGGTCTGGGCTTCACCATCATTTATCTCTCTCCCTCTACTTCCATGCTCTCCTCCCCGGCTACAGGCTGTCAATCACGGGGGCGCCGGCGAGAGGCCATTTTCACACAGGATCAGTAATACTGCAGCGAGACAGCAGGAGGGGGAAGCCGGGGCGTTCAGGAGGAGGCTGACAGGCTAAAGGATGAGTTTGGAGAACAGGGAAAGTAAAGCACAGCGAGAAGAAGGCAGAAGAAGTGGTGAGGAGAACTTCTCCGTGACGAGGTGTCAGTGGTTCAACGTGTTGTGCCAGTTTTCAGCAAATTAATCAAAGTCTCACGTGTCCCCAAAGTGTTTCCCTCAGTTTGGTTTAAAAAGCTCAAAATAGCACAGACATGGTTTAATTCACCCAGACTGAGGAACCGCCTCGTTTACGGCTGTTAGGAGCTCAAATATAACTGAGCTGCTGGTTTTCTGCCTCCTTCAGGAAGGAAACTCTCTCTGCATTAAACTGGACGACTGCTGGTCCGTCAGGTGCACCAGTGTTCAGTTCTTACTGGTTTAAAGAACGGCTGAAACTTCGAACAGCTTTTACTTTTAGACCTCCAGGTTTATAACAAACACACACAAAACATAGATTTCTACCATACGGGACCTTTAATATCTGTTTTCTGAATATCTGTCATACTTTTTACATTTTCTGCCGCCTGAGGAAAATAATTTAATTCAGTTTTCTAGTTCTTCATCTGATATAACGTTGAATTTCTATGAATGACTCCATTAAGGCTGATGCACCAGAGATGGACAAAGTCCTTCCCAATGAGCTGGACTTCTATAAATGCATTCTTAATATTATAGATTTTATAAAACAAAAACAAATCCTAGTTAATAAAAACCTCACGTAACCAAACAACACAACCACAAACAGAAGCAGCTCAACTTAAGGGCAGAAACTAGTAAGTTTGCCCCAAAGTACGACTTCACGCCTGCAGCAGACACATAAACACCTGAAACCCTAAAAACCCTAAAAACCCAACAGATGCTGATGAAGTGAACCAGACAGACGCCGGCCTTCACTCTGTTTGCTGCTATGGTTGAGAAAAAGTCTGACTTCTCACTGAATGCAGCAAATACTAAAGACTTCATAAAGGTGTAAAAATAAAAGCTGTTAAGTTCTCACAGGTGCTCCTGACTCACCATCCCGTCCATATGCTGTGTTCTTCCTGAAGGAGGCGGAAAACCAGCAGCTCATGTTGTTGTTTTGTTCTTTACATTTCAGAGCAGCTCTACAACAGGCGGTTCTACGTTCTGGTGAATTAAATCAGGACTATAGAAGACTTTATATTTGCTGCTTTCAGTAAAAAGTCAAACTTCTACAGAACTCTGCTTTTTATCACAATAACTGTCGTCACTTTCATTCAACATTATTCAGTTATTCATTTGGATTAACCGACTAAATTATCCACAAACATGAAGTTTTCTGATTTCTAGCTTCATGACTTCAGGACAAGAGAACTTTTGGCAATTTTGAATGAAAACTGATTAAATTGTAAATGATCAAACATGTTGCTGATTATTTTTCTGCGTTAATGAGAGATTCCTGCTCTACAATAAAATATAAAAAAATACCAAGAACCACGTCGACATATCAAACAAACGTTAACCTGCAGAACTCAGAGAGAAGCAGCCGACATCCTGGAAGGAACGACCAGAACAAAACCTCCATGTGAGCTGACCGGGTTCAGAGGAAAGAACCTGAACACCTGAGCTTCACTAAATACACCAAAGTTATTGATTTAAGAAAGCAGCTCTGACACGATCAGACGAAAGAAAGTAAATCTGAGAATCGTGGAGATAAAACAGCTTTTAGAAAACTCAGGAGACCAATCTGCTGTTTGTCTGTTCATCTACATGCAGATTTTTATTTTTATTTGATGACACGACTCTTGTTTTACCTCCAGTGAAATGTTGGATAAAAAAAAAAAAATGGCAGCGAGGAAAAAAGAGGAGCTACCAACAGAGCAGGCAAAGGGCAGAAATGAATCTGAGCAGGAAAGAGAAAGACGAAGACAGGAAAGCACAGCGATAAACAAAAAGACAAGGTCAGAGACGAAAGTGAGGACAGAGGCAGAGACAGATTTGGAAAAAAAAGATTTAAACCACAGAGGGAGAAAGGACGACAAGAAACAGAGGGACGAGGAGAGAAAGAGGGAAACAAATAGGAACAAGAGAGGAGTCGGCTTTAAGGAGACGGAAACGGGAAAGGACAGCGATAAAGCAGAAAGGAGGAAGAGGAGGCAGAGCGCTCTGTGCAGCACGGCGACGGGAGGGAGCTGTTTGGCAGCACAGCGGCTGGCATTTGGATAACAAAGCAAGATAGCCAGAATTTCTCCTTTCAGTCCGCAGGGAGAGACAGGAGCCGCCAACCCTGCTGCCCACTGTAGCTCACACAAATATGACAACCACACTGCTACACACACACACACACACACACACACACACAGAGCTCAGCTTAAATGCACCTTCATCTCCGCCTCTAGTTTCATTCACACCCAAATATACGGGCTCAGCTAAAAATATTGCATCCCTGCATATTCATGTTTCACCGTTTGCTCGAATGGAGCGACGGAACAAGATGGAATTATGTTTTGCACGTGCATGTGTACAGATGTGTGTGTGTGTGTATAGATGTGTGTGTGTGTATAGATGTGTGTGTGTGTGTGTTTTTGGAAGCCTGCACCCTCTGATAAACCTCCACAAGTCACCTTGGATCAACAAATCTGGAATTTAAAAAAATAAAAAATAAATGTTTATCACCGCTTCCTCCCTCTGAACCCCGTCATATTTTTCTCTCTTTTGCCTCGAGGGCTCTGTGTGTGTGTGTGTGTGTGTGTGTGTGTGTGCGTGTGTGTGTGTGTGTGTACGTTGTGGGGAGAGTTTAAGGACAGGAGGCAGAGACAGTTTCAACACTATTCACACTGACAAACAGATGACTTTGCAGCCCAAGTATGCCCACACACACACACACACACACACACACACACACACACACACACAGTATCTATATAACTGTGTATATACGGAGCATAAACATCCTCGCAGCGGTGCACTCATCCCTCACCTGGAAAATGCTCGCTCCATATGGTGTCCTCCATGCATTCAACAGATTGTCTTTTCCTGTGCTCACGAACCACTTTCCTGAAATAACACAGACGCGTGTTAAAGAGAAATGGAGGCAGGACGTAAAGTGCAGCCGAGTGTGGCGACGGCTGATGTACGTCGGCGAGAGGCTGCAGACACGTTTAGGAAGTGATAACTGCGTTTGCGTTCGTACCGCAGTAGGCGAACTTGAGCGAGAGGACGCAGCTCTCGTGGAGGTGCAGCTGGTACTTGTCGGGTTTGGAGACGTGCAGGACCTCCACGTTGCTGCTCTCCATCCCCACGGCCAGCCACTCGCCCGTCGGACAGTAGCCCAGAGAGAAGATCTGGAGACGGACAGACGGACGGGGGAAGAAAACGGGAGGGAATCAGAGGAAGGTGAATGAAAGCAGAAAGCGAAACGAGAGAAGGCGGGAGGGAAGCAAGGGCGCAGAAAGGAAAACAAAGATGGAATGAAAGAAGATGTGAGGGAATGGAAGATGAGGGAGGAAAGGAGATAAGGTTGATGAAAGAGGGAGAACAATGAGCGGAAGTAGGGAGGACAGATGAAGGAATTAAGCAGAGATGAAGAATGTGGGGTATCAAAGAGAGGCGATAAAGATGATGAGTGAGAAGAGGAAAGATTGGAGGGGAAAGTTAAGAGAAGGGAAAAAAACGAAAGGGTGGAATGATGTAAACAGGGTAAATACAGAGTGAATTAATAAATAGAGAGGCATCGGGGGAAGAAGGAACGAGGAGAGGGTGATGGAGAGCGGTGGATGTAGACGGACGGAAAGCGAGAGAGAAAGTCATTACACGGTGGATCGAAACTCATTTGACAACAGTGGTCAACTCTATAGCCCTGTTGTGACAGTGAAGAGTGAACGGAGACAGGCGGAGTGTGTGTGTGTGTGTGTGTGTCTGTGTGTGTGTGTGTGTGTGTGTGTGTGTGTGTGTGTACTGATGGCTTATTGGTGTGAATACCTACAGCGTGGTCTCGCTGAGTCTTTATATATTTACTGTATATTCACCTCTTTGGTAGTTTTTCCTCTTTCATTGAAACTCTGAGTTAATATAAAAACATGACATAATTTGGCTTTTTTGACAAGAATTTACCCAAAAAAGGCTCTTTAATGACAAAGTGACAACAGATGTTTACATAAATGTCTATTAAGTAAACATATATAAGCATGAGTATCCACCCATTCAGTCGTAGATTCATCTTTAGCTGTAATTACTGCACTGGTCCTGAGTGGATGGATCTAATCAGTCTGCTCATTTGGACGCTACAGGTTTGGCCCACTCCTCTTTGCCAAACTGTCAGGTTACACAGGCTCTGTGAGCCAGCAGCTCTTTTCAAGTCCAGCCACAAACTCTCAGTGGGACTGAGGTCTGACTCAGACACTCCAGAAATCACCTGGTTGTCTTTAGACCATTTCTGTGGAGCTTTGGCTGTTTGCTTCAGGTCATTGTCTTGCTGGGAAAACAAATCTTCTCCCAAGTCTCAGTTCTCCTGCAGACTGCAACAGGTTGTCCTCCAGAATATCTCCACGCTTTGCTGCATTCATTTCACCCTCTACCTTTAACCTCACATCATGATGCTGCCACCACCGTGCTTCGTAGTGGAGATAGTTTGTGATGATGTGCAGTATTTGGTGCCAAACACAACGTCTGGTCTGATGGCCAGCTCAGGTTTTTTTTTTCTCATGACACTGAAGAACCACAGAGCAGTCTGCTGGTGGCCTCCTCGCTACACTCTTCATTCAGCTTCAGAAATGTTCTCTTATCCATCTCCTGATTATACAGATTGGACGTATTCACTGCAGTCAGATGATCTCCGTTCCACCAGCTGTGTGACGTCTACACCAACTGGCTGTACCTGTGCTGTAACAGGTACGTCACTGTAAAGGGGGTGAATACTTCTATAGTCATTATGTCATGTTTTATAGTTTGACTTTATTGACGTTACCTTGAAGAGATCTGTCCTCACTTTGACATGAAAGAATCTCTTTTGGAGTAAATTTTTGCCATAAAAGGTAAATTAAGTTGAACAAGAAAACTTCCAACACTTCTATAGGTGCTGTATGTCGGTGCATCCATAGCTCTGCTACTGGACCTGCATTACTAATAAACAGTGTGTACGTTTAAGTCCATGTCCCGTGTTCTGTCTCACCTGCTGGATGTATAGGTGAGAGCTTGTGTGAGTTTGTACCTGCGAGGTGAAGTCGTGCTGCTGCAGCTGGCGTCCCTCTCGGAGGTCCCAGCAGCGGACCGTGTTGTCCAGGCCGCCCGTCCACAGCTTGGTGCCGTCGTTGGAGATGTCGATGCAGCTCGCTCCGTCCGTGTGGCCCTGAAACTGCCTGCAGGACCAGACGAACACGCACACACACGCACACGCACACACACACACACACACACACACACACACACACACACACACACAGCTTCTGAGAACAAACACACACATCTCCAAAGTCCACACGTGCTGCACTCTGCCTCCTGTGTGCTTCTCTTCTGTTGGAGGTGTCAGACCAAATATATTTTAATCCTTCCCTCCCTGTAGCACCTCCTGCCCTCTCCCCACCCACACATGATCCTCTTTTCTCTCCTCACACCTCACCACAGCGCTGCTTCCCCTTCTCCCTCAGTTCCTCTCTTTCAGTGTTGCTTTGCCAAACACGGCTGTTTTTATCCTGCCCATATCCCCCTATGACTGCTTTATCCCCCCTCTCTCTACCTGACCATGACCATTGTGAAAGCCTCAGACTGCAGCGATTTCTTCTTCCCACTCCAGCTCCCTTCTTCCATATTTTATCAGCTGTCCTCTCTTATCTTCTCCTACCTTTCTCTTGAAATTTCTGAAATGTTCCTCATCTTCTAGCTTCTCTCTCCCCATCTGTGCTCTCTGCTGACTGCAGTCTGTTTGTGCAGGTACAGTAGTTTTTCCTCCTGCTCACCTGACCAGCGTCTGGTTGTGGAGGTCCCAGACCACGATGTTGCCGTCGCTGCAGCAGGAGAAGCAGACCTTGTTGTCGGGGGAGATGGCCAGAGCGTAGCAGGCGGGAGCGGACGACGTCAGCTCCGCCTTGATGCGGGGAGTCGGCGTGGCCAGATCCCAGATCGACAGCGTGCTGGCCTCTCCGCCGACAATCAAGGTTCGCCCGTCGGGGAGGATTTTACAGGAGCGGATGTAGTTATCCCTGTTCTGGTTGGACAAGACGAGGAAAGCGGTTAGATTATGACTGTCGTAACTGGATCAAGGACAGAAAAAACAAAAGTGCACGAGGCTTTCTAGGACAGATGGCAACACTGGAGACATTCATGAAACGAATATGGACGTTTTGATGTCCGCTACCAAAACTGAGGACGAAAGATGACACAGTCAATAAAAACAAATCTGCTCAGTGAATATACTGTCGACATGCACACATTTGTTTGCATGTTTCTATTTTTAATACTTGAGCGTGTTCCTGTTTTCCGTCCTGCCTCATGCCTCACCAGACAGTCCAGCTGGGCCATGGGGCTCTTGCTGCCCGGCTGGCTGATGTCCCACACCTTGACGCAGCCTTTGCCTCCGGTGTAGACGTGGCGCGTGGAGGTGCTGATGGTGACGGCGCACACCACCTCCCCGTGGCTCAGGGTGTGGATCTGCCGGGCGTGACGGGGGATCCCCGGACCCAGCAGGGCGTCGGGGGGAAAGGGCACCGGCTGCATCTGGCCGTCGGCGCTCACGTGGAAGGAGTAGGCGCTAAAGAGGAGACGGAGGGAAGGAAGGGAGCAGAAATCAATCAGCAGTTCAGAGTGAAAGAGCTGCAGCTAAGAACCAACTGGACTGGGAGGCACTGCGAAAGGACTGCAGAAACGGGCCAAAGGCAAAGACGGATCAATCAATCAATCAATAAGCAAGTGAAAGCGCAGCACTACAGGTAAACACACATAACTCACTAACAACCACACACATGTCAGCGTGCAAGGTGTGAAGTCTGACGACGGCATAATAGCCTGAATTCAAGCAATTACCGGGCTCACGGTAGCTGTGGGCGGGAATGCATAATGGCAGATTGCATTACAGGCCAGAGTCACTGTAGCATTGCTAATGGCTGATCAATACTGTGGCGGTCGGGAGCCGAGGCTGTTTTATGATTTCAAATTAGCACGGCAAGAATGAATCGCTGCTCCACAACAAATGACAAAAACAACACAATTCCTCAGCCGGCGAAGGCAAGAGAAAATGTGCCAATGTGTGGAGTAGGTGATGCAGACATGTGAAGCATCACAGTGTTCCTGAGACGTACGGCTTCCAGGTATTAAACAGTGTTAATGTGCAACACCGAACAGCTCCCGGGACCTAAGAGCACATTCCCATGCAAAACATACACATACTAACGCGTGTAGATGTGTCTGCTGGTGTCTGTTTTTATTGGAAAATTGAACATAGACGGTGAGTTAGTGAATCCTTTAGCTGGTAGTTCAGCTACGGTGGCCTCCAGGAGCGCCGGTGACAGAAACAGAAGCACCCTGACTCGGATACACAGGACATTTTATCTCTGTTCACGTTCATGCATGATGGGAGTCGATCTCTGCACATGCAGGTGTGTTTTTACAGGTACGAACTTACGGCTTTCCACCAGACGAGCCGGGCAGAGAGGAGGACAACCCCGGGGCCCTCAGGTGAGACCGGGAGTCATACGCCACCTGGTGGAAACAGAAAACGGAGACAAATAAGTACAAGTGTGCTGCCTAAAGTGTGCCAGTTGATTTCCACATAATTTTCATCACAAGTACACACAAATGTATGTAAATTTGTTCAATCAAATCCATTTTCCACATCAGACAGATAAATCTGCAATTTAATGTGATTGCAAAAGACAAAATTATTCCAGTATAGGAGCGAGCGGAAGCTGTGATTGGACGGCTGCGTGTTGACATACGTGTTTCTGAGGCTGCTCACTGACACTAACAAAGAGCTGCAGCAGGATGCAGACAGGCTGAGCTGCTCAGCGTCTCCTTTCTACCACTGCTGTCTATAAAATGAACTGGAGGAAGTAAACATGATGGCTCTATAGCACACTGTATCGCTGATGCAGGACAGATTCATCAGGTGTTTAAGCCGTGCTGTGACAGTACGAAGGCTGGATCAGAACAATAAATCAAACCTTGACAGAGGAGCATAACTCGGCCTTTACTCACCATGGGGCTCCGGGAGTAGGCGCTGGCTGCTGCGCTGATCTGTGGGGAGAGAGTCAGGGCTCCGCCGAAGCCTCCGGGACTGGCCAGCTCCCCGTTCAGGCCTGCGTGGGACACCACGCCAAAATGAGCCGGGTATGAACCGGGGGGCACAGACATGGGACTGCGGAGAGCTGGGAGGGAGGGAAAGAGGGGCAACAACACAGTACACAAGCACAAACACCGTCACAGAGGGGCTGAGAGTCGAGGAAACTCTGTCTGATGAGGGCGCTTCAAAAAGCTCTGGGCCTCACCCACAAACAGGACGGAGCTAAACTACAGAGCCTTTAATCACTGTCCACACAAAGAGAAATGTTTGCAGCAGCAAAGCTTCAAGCTGGCTGGTTGCTGCAGGACAACGAGTCCGTCCACATGGTACCGAAGCAGCTAAATGTGGCTCTGACCCGGTACCTCACCCACCCGACCTGCACCGTCTGACTTCTGTCTCCCAAACTTGCTTGGTCACTGATTTCAAAGTGAAGACAAAGTCATGCACGCTGCTGAGGACAATCTGGAGGCTGAAGGTTTGACCTGCTTCCACAGAGGAACAGTGACGGTTGAACACTGATGGACCACTGATGGCGCTGAAGTTAAAGGAGACTGATGCAGGAACAATGTTCCTCCTGTGACGTTTTCTGCTGAGAGTTTTTTGAAGCTCCCTCGTACATTTAACTTTATTTGTTTAAACACCAGCCAGGCTGCAGATCAGAGAGCTGTCAACAACAACTCCTGGCTGTAGGGGCAGCGACCAGCTAACAGTCTGGATCCAGAGCACGACGGAAACAGATCCAATAAAAACAAGTGGAAACAGGAAAACAGAGGAACAGGAGGATGTGTGGAGGGCAGAGGCAGTCTGGGTACAAACCCCATCGAGGTCATGACAGGTGGATTCATGGAGCTGTTTGGTCCGACTGATGCAGTTTATATAAAACAAATGAACAAGCAGCTACATCTAAAACTAAATGTAAAGCGATGAGCAGAGTGATGGTAGGAGCTTCAGGAGAAAGCAGATGGACTTCTGTTAGGTCTGGTTCTCTACTGAGGCTCCCAGATTACAGTGAGTAATCTGACTACTTCCTCCACTAAATGAGTTCCATGATGATATTTGTCATTTTTCTGAGCTTATGGTTACAAACATGGTGGAAAAGCTCTAAATGTGTAAAATGATCTCAGATTAATGTAGAAGTAGCTCGTTATGAGTACAGTGAGCTCCTCTATCAGCAGATTGAACAGATTTGTGCAGTTTGTCAGTAACCAGAGTCTCACCGAGGGGGTCTGCGCTGGCTGCTGCTTTGCTGACCAGGCGAAGGCAGGAGGTGCTGGGACCAGGGGCTCCGGGGGCTCCGGGGGCTCCGGGGGTAAGGGCCTCACGGTGGGACGGGGACGGGGTGCCAGACTTGGACAGCGGAGACTGGGACTTATCCATCTGCAGGAAAAATCAGGTCAAACAATAAATATAACCAATAAAACACATGGACGGTCTGTCACAGGACTCGTGATGCTTTCCTCTCGTTGATGAGTCTCAGTGAAACGTTAGGAAGCTGTGGAGCAGCCAGCAGGAGTTTGTTCTGACGTGAATGAGCTCCTGTTCAGTGGATCTGCATGAGCTGGACTGTTTTATCCTTAAAGCTAAATAAATGATGACGTCACAGGAATCGACAGCCGGAGGGTAGAAACTGAAAATAATTCAATTTAATTATCACAGAAAAAAAAAAGATTTAAATGTTCAGCTTCATTAAAGATGTTAAAAGTTCCAGTAACGTATTAGCATAACGAGAAGCAGGTTCTGCTGACTCAGCAGGTTCTGCTGACTCAGCAGGAACCTCCAGCGCTGCCATCAGCCCAGCTCACCTGTGCGGGGTCCTTGGCCTTGCCCGGGGTGGGGCTGCGGGGGTTTGGGGTGGACGGAGCCTCTCCGGCGCTCGAGGAGCCCGGCAGCTCTTTCCTTAAGGTCGGGGCCCGGTCCAAACCGTTCCCATGCGGCGAATGTGGAGGGCTGCCGGCTGGAGAGTTGGGCTCCTGGACGACAGAGAGAGACGAGAAATGATTTAATGTTCGACTCAGTTCTGTCGTTTCAACCTCAGACGCTGAAACCAGTTTGTTCTCTTTGTGTCTCGACCTTTTTTATTTCTGCTTTAAAGAGACGATCGTCATGTTTGGATCAGAACATCTCCTCTCTCACTATGGTCACGACATTTTAGCACTTTTTATGGAACCACACATAAGAAATGCAGCCAAATGCAGCAGCTGCTTCAGATCTTTAGATTCTTAACATACTTTGAACTTCTTTTTTTTTAACTGAGCTGCATCACCAGAACCCTCAGCTGGACTCTAAGCTCACGTCTGCTGTCACACAGGTGTTGGGATGTTCTTAATAAATGCACCGTTATCATTTAACAGCTTATTATTGTAGCTGCACATTGGATGTGAATGCCACTGGGATCATAGCGACACCATCCTGATGGATCACAGCTGGACTGAACAGAACCGACGTCATGAAGCTTCACAGAAGACTTTGTCATGAAAAACCTGATCTTTGGTTTATTTAACAAAAACAAACAAAACCACCACAAATGACCACAATATAATAAAAGAACTGCTGCTAGTGATTTAAAAAGTCTGTAAAATAAGAAGAAAAGCGTGACGATGTAATAATAAACCCTCTAACTGTCTTAAAGCCACCAGCGTCCTGCTGTACCGACTCTGTGAGGTTACGGCAGGAGTTTGAAAATACACTTAAAGGAAAAGCTCCTGATTCTTCTGTCACTGATCCAACGTCAACCGGGCTTTGTAAACGGGAACCGGGAGCTCAGGAAACACTACATGACACCCCAGACGCTGGCGCTGGCGCAGTCGCGTATGGACCTGGAGATAAAGCTGCTGTTACAGATGCTTTCATCACTGGAGCAGCGCCGCCTCCCCAGAACAGAGTACTGGAGTAAGCACTTCTGTCTGGGTCACGGTGATCAGCACGGACACTCCAGTGCTTATACGGACACACACACACACACACACACACATTTCTTATGAGGACATTCAGTGACACAACCCCAACCTTCACCCTGACTGTAATCTAAACCCGATTCTAGCCTCAAACTGGACCTCACAGAGATGGTTGTACAAACACACGTACATCACCCGAACCGTAATCTAAACCTGATTCTAGCCTGAAGCTGGGTCTGAAACTCAAACTGGACCTCGCAGGTATAGTGGTACAAACACACACATGTATGTTTATCTGCAAAAAGGGAGGCACACACACACACACGCGCACACACACCCACACACACACACCCACACACACACACACACACACACACGTAGGTTTTATCTGTACCACAGCACCGCTCACCAGAGGACTTCCCTCCTTTTTCCTTCCATTACCAAACATGTGTCGCTTCTCTTTCCTCTCCCTCTCGGTGCTTTTGTACCGGTTTCCAGAATCACACAAGAGACCGGTTCTGCTTTTGTGTGCAATATCAGAAATACAGAGGGCTTAGATGAAACATATTTTGGTACACTGCGTGAAGTATTTAAAGAACTAAAATATTCCAGGGGCATAAACGGCTTTGCATATATTAAAGGAAGCAGACTGCAGTTATCTAATGAGGGGAGGGAGGAGGAGGAGGAGG